AACACACTGCTTTAGCCTTTACTTGGGCTAGAAAGGTCCAAGCTGATCAATTAGCTAGTCATATACCAATTCACCCAGTACCAATTTACACTCCAAAAACACAATAACTTCACAAACTCATCAAAAAAAAAAAAAAAAAAAATCATACGCACACTCAACCAAATTTAATCAAATTGGTACTAGAAAGCAGTGGCAAGAGTCAATCAGGTTATAACTAAAATCTATCATCAATGATCTCAGATGGAGTGGAATTAGAAAAACTATTGAAGCAGTTCTCAAAACCCTTTATTCTAATGGAAGATTTTAATCATCATAATATTGTCTGGGATTGTACAAACACAGACCAGATAGGAAGATTTCATCCATAGAAACAACCTATGTGTTGAAGCTTGGATAAGCATGGAATAATAATAATACAACACAAAATGTACATAAACAAAATGTATTGAAACAAGGAAAAGGTACACAATATTTACAGTTAGTTTGATATATTCTTAGGAAGACTGTTCCTGTAGAATGGGTTGACTTAATTGCAGTCGGGCAGAGTCTCTGGATTGGATCTCTTGTTACTTCCTTCCCGGTACCAACCCATATTTATATGGTCGGTACTCCACTATGTAAATTAGGTGGATCGTACCACAACACTATGTTTATACAATGACAAGTCGTATAGCTACCTTCACCCATTAAATGGTACATATACAGCAATAGATCTAAACTTACGTGACCACCTTGCAACATATCTAGACTATAGCTGGAAAAGACATGATACATGTGTTAATGATTACTTCCCAATTGTGTTAAAAACCTCTGGATCTTTGCCAGGTGAAAGAATACTATACTGGAAACTTAAGAAAGCCTGTTGCAAGGAATTTAAAAAGGCATGTGCCCTAAAACTTACACTAGAAGCCAATGTGAACAATACTGAGCACATCACCTATTTCACAAAAACTCTTAGTGTTACAAAATAATTTATACCAAAATCAAAACCTCAACCTGTCAAACATGATAGACATTGGTTTAACGGCAAATGTAAAAAAGAGTGATCAGATTCTGTTGTACAGCTCTACGTAAGTTTAAGTTAAACCTAACTCAAGAAAATCTGAACATCTACAAAATAATTAGAGCTAAAGTACATAGAAAAATTAAAGAATCCAAGTGATCCTTATGAAAGAACTTCGTGTCTGATATTAATTTTAATCCTAAAACCAAAACAGTATGGAATATGATCCATAAAATTGCTGGGAAAAATAAAAGCACTCCATTAAGACATTTCAAAACAATATCAAAACAACTAACAAAGAGAATATTGCAAATTTATTAACATAAAACTTTTCTCAAAATTCTTCAAAAATTCCAGTAAGGTATTTCAGAATATCAAAACAAAAAGAAAAAAAAAATTAAATTTCTGTTCTAACAATAATGAAAATTACAACCAGACTCTTACTTTTTCCAGAATTACTAGATTCTATAAGAAAATCAGACAATTCAGCAGTTGGCCCAGATGAAATTCATTATGAATTCTTAAAAAACCTTACCAAATGTTTCCTTGAACTGCCTGCTCAAATTTCTCAAGAACATATAGATCAGTGATAATATTCTCAGTTACTGGAAACAAGCTACCATAATTCCAAACCTGGAAAAGTCTTAGAAAATCCCTTACGAGTTGTTTATGCATAACGTTTGAAAGAATTGTTAATAATACACCTACTTGGTTTCTTAAAGCTAATAATAAAATTACAAATTTCTAAGCTGGCTTCAGAAAGAATAAAAGCACAATCGATCAGCTGGTTTGACTGGAGTCCTTTGTCAGAAATTCTTTCATTAAAAAGGAACATTTAATGGCAGTATTCTTTGATCTGGAAAAAGCCTATGATACCACATGGGGATATGGTATCATAAAAGACTTAAATGAAATGGGCCTTAAAGGAAAATTACCAATGCTTATTAATAACTTCCTGAGAGAATGAACCTTTAATGTTTGTATTGGTACCACACTTTTCAGACCTCTATGAACAAGAAATGGGTGTTTCTCAAAGAAGCATGTTATCAATGATGCTCTTCAGCATCAAAATAAATAGCATCATTAAATGCTTGAACCCTGGACTTGACTGTTCACTGTATGTAGATGATTTTCTAATATGTTACAGATCAAAAAATATCCATACAATTCAATGACAACACCAAGAATGTCTGAAAGGAAACAATTGGGCCACAAAAAATGGATTCAGATTCTCCAAACAAAAAACTTAATGCGTACACTTGTGTCAACTTTGAAAGCTTGACTATAATCCTGAATTAAGACTCGATGGTACATAAGTGCCTGTAGTAGATCAATACAAATATCTAGGAATAATTTTTGATAAAAAAAATTATCCTTCATACCACATAAAATATCTTTGTGAGAAATGCAATAAAGCTATACATCTACCCAGACATCACTCACAAAGACAGGGAAGCTGACAGACAGACGTCACTGAAACTGAATTCTCTAATACTTTAATCTTTTCTCTCAAAAACTCCACCCGGTTAATAAAACAGCCCTCGGTAATATTAAGGCTGGTAAAACACTCTAAAATTGAAACTGATACAACTGTATTCATGGAAGAAGAAATATATAATATCCTACAAAAACATACAAATTGTAAGCATATATACACCGATGGTTCCCAAAATATTGATAAAGTTGGATGTTCAGCTACACTGAATGAAACTGTCTTTGAGAAATGCCTACCTGACTATTTCTCAATCTCTAGTGCAGAAGCTATGGCAATAGACTTAGCTTTGGACATTATCATAGATGATGAGTCAAACAGATTCATTATATTCTCAGACTCCCTATTTGTCTTTACATCGCTGATTCCAGTAAGCTATTTCAGAATATCAAAACAAAAGAGGAAATAAAAATTAAATTTCTATTCTAACAATAGTGAAAATTACAACCAGACTCTTACTTTTTCCAGAATTACTAGATTCTATAAGAAAATCAGACAATTCAGCATTTAGCCCAGATGAAATTCATTATGAATTCTTAAAAAACCTTACCAAATGTTTTCTTGAACTGCCTGCTCAAATTTCTCAAGAACATATAGATCAGTGATAATATTCTCAGTTACTGGAAACAAGCTACCATAACTACCTGCTTCAAGGATTGAACTCACGACCATAACACATAGATAATCAGCTCTCATATCTATTATGTCACTGTCCCAAAGGATATTAGTGGTGTGTTTTTGGAGCCTTTTATATTTGCTGTCAGATATTTGCTGACCAATCAAACTTGTAAACAAAATCAGTTTACTTTGTAATCAAAAACACATCATATTCTGCTGGATTCCTCGCATCCAGGGAAATGGAAAGGCAGATAAAGCAGCTAAAGAGAATCACTAAAAATGAATATATCAAAAACAAAAGTTCCTCCATACAAATTTCAAAACACTAATTAATATTAATCTCTTAAATAAGTGGCAAGAGTTATGTAATACTCACCCAAATAACAAATTGCACAAAATGGAACCTACACTTGGGATAAGTCACCATAACACCAGACTTTCCTGAAGAAAAAAAAGTAGTCTCAAAAAGAATCAAAATTGGTCATATAAATATCACATTCTTTTCTCCTAAAAGACAAAGCTCCACCTAAATGTATATTATGCCAGGAGACATACACCATAAAACATTTTATGATAGACTGTGCTGAATTTAGCTCTATCTGTAAACACTTTTATAAGGTGAATAGCTTTAAAGATTTTTTTAAAAATGTTAGTGAAGAAACCATTCTGACCTACCTGAGGAAAAGTAGATTATGCACCAAAATTGAATCTAAATCACTTCACCTATACAATAGCTTCCAATTATATTTCACAAATTTTAAAATTTTTAAGATATTATCGAATAGAAATCTGTTTTTCAGCATTAAACGACCCAAGTGGGTTGATGTGATAGTAAAATAAACAAATCATACCTATATCCACAAAATATCATAAACCATCTGACAGCAAATATAAAAGGCTCCAAAAACACACCACTAATATCCTTTGGGACAGTGACATAATAGATATGAGAGTTGATTATCTATGTGTTATGGTCGTGAGTTCAAGCCTTGAAGCAGGTAGTGAAGCACTGGCTTCCATATGACTGATTTCACAGAGGGTATTTGGTTGAAATATGTTTATAATAACATCTAAATGAACTAAGATGAGAACAATAGTTTGAAATAATAGAAGTATGTGCACACATGAAATATTAAATTATTAAAACAATTTTTCAGTTAATTCGTCAAGTCAACTATTATTGCTCTTTCCAGTGTTGATGGGGGTTTCTTCCTAACCTTTTGCTTGAAGTACTTTGGAAAGTCAAAATCCTGATTATGTCTTATTATACATAAATGGGTTAGAGGTGGATTCATAACTTTCCCAAATCTATTAATGTAAGAAGTGAACATAAATTGTTCCAGACAGTATTTTGAACTTTTGATTGGTTGATTCCTTTCTTCCTTCTGTTAACCATTAAGCCACAACTTCTTGCCATCCCAAATTAGAAATAGTTAGTAGATGCTGTAGGTATTTTTATTGATTACATTGAAAGTTTAAATACAGTTCCTCTTGACTTGACTAAGACAGTCGTATCTTTGAAAGGACAATTTCTATTGGTTTCTTCACCTTTTTTTGTTTTCATTTAAATGTTTGACTGAATAATAAAAAAAAAAATCCTAAATTGGTGGAAGGGCAATTCTAAGATATTTCTAACATGTTGCAGAGAGTCATTTCTTGTTGGTCATATCTATTTCCCCAGAGCTGCAATGTATCCATTCATTATTGA